AGCTGTCTTGGGACTATTGTGGACTCTTGGCACCCTTCCCAGGAAAGGAGAATGAGAGCGGTTCAGCATGTCCAAAGGTGTTGCAACTGAATGAGATAAGATTCGTTTCTCAGGCCTGAGTATTCTTGGCAATGACAGAGTCTATGCATTAGCCTTTAAAAGTAACATTTTGCCTTTTGCCACAGCATCTTGTGATAGAGCAGAGGAGAGCAGAGAAAAGCTGTTTTGGATTTTTAGAAGACAAAAGGAGTTTTGGACAGTTTTGAGGCCTGGGGTGATTTCACAGACAGGATTTGGGTATCCTGTCCCTTCAGTACCTCAGGTTACATACGCTTCAGGTTACAGACTCCGCTAACCCAGAAATAGTGCTTCAGGTTAAGAACTTTGCTTCAGGATGAGAACAGAAATTGCGTGGCGGCCCCATTAGCTAAAGTGGTGCTTCAGGTTAAGAACAGCTTCAGGTTAAGAACGGACCTCCGGAACGAATTAAGTACTTAACCCAGGGTACCACTGTACTTCTGTCTTGTCGGGATTCAACCTCAATCTGTTAGCCGCCATATCTGGGGTGGGAAGGGAGAAATATAAGCTACAGAGAGATTCCTGGGTTTCCGGGCCAAGCGAGGGCCAGTAAGGGAACAATAGAGGGCCACTGAGGGCTGTTGCCAATGCAAGAAATCTCCCCCCATCTGCCCTGAGGTGTGAAGAGACAGAGGGGTTTGAAGGGTGATGGGGGCTGTTTTTGAGCCAGGGATCTGGGAAGAAGGAGGAGGAGAAAATGAGAGGCATCCATCTTTTGGGGGAGGCAGACTGAAGGTTGCCTGTGCTGCCGCCTCTGGAAATGACTATGCCGCAAGATCTGGACTCCCTCCATGCAGGCTGAAGGTGTAAATACAGTGGTACCTCGCAAGACGGAAAACTCGCAAGATGAAAGGGTTTTCCGTTTTTCGAGGTGCTTCGCCAGACGAATTTCCCTATGGGCTTGCTTCGCAAGAAGAAAGCCCATAGGGAAATCTCCGGGGACCTCTTTTAAAATGCTGGTGGTCGGGAGCAAAGACTTTCACCCACCGCCGGCCTTCAGAAGAGGTCCTGGACCTCTTCTGAAGGCCGGCGGGGGGCGAAAGTCTTTGCTCCCCCCCGCCTGCCTTCCCGGGACAGCGGAGACTTCTCCGCTGTCCCGGGGCGATCTTAAAATGCTGGCGGGCGGCAGCGAAGCCTTCGCTGCCGCCTGCCAGCATTTTAAAATCGCCCCGGGACAGCGGAGGCTTCGCTGCCGCCCGCCAGCATTTTAAAATCGCCCCGGGGGGCTTTTAAAATGCTGGTGGGCGGCAGCAAAGCCCTCCTGTCCCCGGAGCTTGCGGGGCGGGAGGTGGGGAGAAGGGCTTTTCTTCCCACCGCCAGCCTTCAGAACAGCCTTCTGAAGGCTGGCGGTGGGAAGAAAAGCCCTTGTCCCCCCCCCTCAGCCTTCAGAAGAGGTCGGGGGACAGACTGTCCCCGGACCTGGTCTGAAGGCGGTTTCCATAGGAACGCATTGATTGATTTTCAATGCATTCCTATGGGAAACCGTGCTTCGCAAGACAAAAACTCGCAAGAAGAAAAAACTCGCGGAACGAATTAATTTCGTCTTGCGAGGTACCACTGTAGGTGAGTAAACCTATTCTTAAAGCCACGACCGTCTCCGTCGCATCTTCTATTCTCCAAAGGGACGCAGACCCTGTGCGGGTGCCTGGGACCCCAGGGGCTCTTGCCGCTGCTCGGCAGAGAGGGGTGCAGACACCCAAGTTTTGTAAAAGTATCGATTTAATTTAATTAATGGAATTTAATTAATTCCAATTTAATTAATGGAATATGCAGAACTTGATAAACTAACAGGAAGGATCCGGAACCGACGAGACCAGAAATTCACGGAAGACTGGAATAAATTTACAGATTATATGAAAAGTATATGTGATGATCAGGTAACGTTTGTAAGCTTTCAGGAAGTTCTGTGAAAATGTACGGTAGAAATATTGTTTAAAAAATAAGATATTAATGTAGTGCAATATTAAATTAAGAAATGTGGAAGAAGTGAGTAAAACGGAGAATTATCAGACATGCTGATGGAAGTCCAAAAAGAGGATGTTGGTGATAAATTGGATGTTTTGTACAATTTTATATTGGAAATTTAATAAAAAAATTAAATTCCAAAAAAAAAAAGTTTTGTAAAGGTATCAGACAGGTACTTCCTATCAAGGACAGTGAACCTGTGAAATTTCTCGACCTCTGTGAAATTCCATGCACACTGACGGCACTATCTTTAAAAGCCAGCAAATGTAAAACCAGTTGTGGACATAGTGTATCTTGATTTCAGTAAGGCTTTTGACAAAGTCCCCCATGATATTCTCACGAGGAAATGAGATGAAAAAGATGTTTAAATACACATTTATTAAGAAACCAGAAGCATTTTTACTCGGCATTGTAAGAGATGATATCAATAGACAGGATTGTAAGTTGTTTTTACATGCAGTGACAGCAGCAAGAATGTTATTGGCACAAAAATGGAAGCAAGAAGAATTACCGACGAAAGAAGAATGGAGGGTGAAATTGATGGGCTGTGCAGAATTAGATAAATTAACAGGAAGGATTCGAAACCTGCAGAACCAGAGATTCATAGAAGACTGGGGTAAATATACGAACTATTTGAAAATTAATAGTAATGAACAGATTACACTAGTAGGATTGCAAGAAGTTTTGTAAGGATGATTATTCGAAATATTGCAAGAAAGGCTATGAGGAGAACTATTAGTTAATGATAATGAAGAGTAATTGAGAAATAAAGAAATGCAGAATAAGTGATAAAGAATGAAAAATCATCAGAGGCCTTGACGGAAGTCTAAAATATTGTATAAGATAAGAAGTTATGTTATATGATTGTGGGAAATGATATGTTAAAAAAACCAATAAAATGTATATATAAAAAAAGATATTCTCACGAGGAAGTTGGTAAAATGTGGGTTTAATGAGGTAACTGTTAGATGGATTTGTAGCTGGTTGAGTAACTAAACCCAGAGAATACTCATTAATTGTTCCTCGTCATACTGGGGAAAAGTGACAAGTGGGGTGCCACAGGGTTCTGTCCTGGGCCCGTTGTTGTTCAACGTCTTTATAAATGACTTGGACGAAGGAATTGAGGAGATGCTCATCAAAATTGCAGGTGACACCAAACTAGGAGGGGTAGCCAATGCCACAGAAGACAGAATCAAGATTCAATATGACCTCAACAGATTGGAGAACTGGGCTCAAGCTAGCAAAATGAATAGGGACAAATGTACGGTTCTGCACTTAGTCAAGAAGAACCAGATGCACAAATACAGGATGGGGGACACCTGGCTTACTAGTAGTACATCTAGGGGCCTTGGTGGACCACAAGCTGAACATGAGTCAACAGGGTGATGCAGCAGCAAAAAAAGCTAGTGCTATTCTAGAATGCGTCATAGCATCATAGAATAATAGAATTGTGGAGATGGAACGGACCCTTAGGGTCATCTAGTACAACACTCGGCAATGCAGGAATATACAGTTGTCCCATATGGGGCTCAGACCTGCAACCTTGGCATTGTCAGGACCATGCTCTAACCACCTCTAGGCAGCATAATGTCAATATCAAGGGAAGTAATAGTCCCACGAGGACGAGATGGTTGGACAGTGTTCTTGAAGCTACAAACATGAGTTTGACCAAACTGCGGGAGGCAGTGAAGACAGGAGTGCCTGGCGTGCTCTGGTCCATGGGGTCACAAAGAGTCGGACACGACTAAATGACTAAACAACAACAAAATAGTCCCACTCTGTTCTGCCTTGGTCAGACCACACCTGGAATTCTGTATCAAATTCTGGGCACCACAATTTAAGAAGGATGTTGACATGCTGGAAGGTGTGCAGAGGAGGGAGACCAAGATGACCAAGGGTCTGGAAACCAAGCCTTACGAGGAACGGCTGAAGGAGCTGGAAAAGAGGAGACTGAGAGGAGAAAGGATAGCCATCTTCAAATATCTCAAGGGCTGCCACATGGAAGAGGGAGAAGCTTGTTTTCTCCTGCTCCGGAGGGTAGGACTTGAACCCATGGCTTCAAGTTCCAAGAAAGGAGATTCCAACTAAACATTCGGAAAAACTTTCTGACAGTGAGAGCTGTTTGACAGTGGAACAGACTCCCACAGGAGGTGGTGGACTCTCCTTCCTTGGAGGTTTTGAAACAGAGGTTGAAATGGAAAGCATCTGTCGGGGGTGCTTTACCCTTGAGGTCCCTTTCAACGCTAGGATTCTATTAAAGCAAACACATCACTGTGGAGCCAAATTCCCACATATGAACATTTTGGGGTGCTAAAGAATCTGTGGATCTTGCAATGTTTCCCAAGAAACACCCTCAACCGGGTTGCCTTTGACACATTTCATTTCCTTTCCCTGCCCCCTGGTTACGTGACCCAGCCAATAAGGCAGGGGTCAGCAAACTTTTCCAGCAGGGGGCCGGTCCACTGTTCCTCAGACCTTGTGGGGGGGCGTACTATTTTTTGGGGGGGGACAAACAAATTCCTATGCCCCACAAATAACCCAGAGATGCATTTTAAATAAAAGGACACATTCTACTCATGTAAAAACACGCTGATTCCCGGACCGTCCGTGGGCGGGATTTAGAAGGCGTTTGGGCCGGATCCGGGCCCCGGGCCTTAGTTTGCCTACCCATACAATAAGGTATCATGGAAGCAGCATAGTGTTGCCACAGAGCTGTGTGGCTTGTCAGATTAGGCTTTGTGATGATCCCTCGTCCCCCTGGACCTCCTTCAAGGAGACTTCAAGTTTAGCCTGACCATCCCTTCCTCATTCCACCCCTTTCTCATTTTCATAATTCCACCATGCAATTCCTGCAAATCCCAGTGGGAACTAAACATCTGGGCCACAATATGTTGTAATTATCCTTTATCTCCAAACTATAGTCCTCAGTACCGTACATATATATATAAAAAAGAAAATCAAAACCTACCCGAAATCTCTACTGTAGCTGATGAAACTGTTGTCCTCGCAGAGGGAGACGTCGCAGTCAGGAGGGAGATGGTTGTCTCTTCAAATGAGATCCCCTTCGTTCTCTCTGGGACAGAGCTTGGGACCTTTTTGGCTGAGGTGACCTCTGTGGCTAATGGTGTAGTAGACAGCAAAGGAGTCATCTTTGCAGAGACCATTGCTGTAGTTGTGGGAGATGTGGGTGTCTTGGTGGTAGTCCTCACAGTCTGGATAATTGGAGATGCCTCCAGCCCAGTGGATGTAGCAGCGCTTGTACTCTTGGTTGCTGATGCCAGGTGAGAAGACGTCTCTTCTGTGGGTATTTCCTCCATATGCTGAGACGGAGCAAAGACAGAAGATGTCTCAGCTCCACTTGACATTGCCACTGTCCTCTCCGTGGGAAATGTAGTCTGGTGAGCAGTAGTGGTCCCTTCAGCTGATCTGGACACTGTACTAAAGAGGGAAGTGTGTGCCATTTCAGTTGATGCTAACTTAGAACTCTCTGTGGGAGATAATGCAGCGAAGAGAGAAGAGGATGTATTGGCTATGGTTGACGTGAGCGCTGTACTCTCAACGGTGGGTCTTTCAGAAAGGAGAGAAGTTGGCACCTCTGTACTATCAGTGGAAGGGTTAGAAGATGCCTCTTCCTGCGACTGTCCTTTGTCAGTGTCTGCTGAAGGCCCAGTGAAATGCTGAGGAATCGATGTCTTCACTACTGTTGGTGTGTCAGGGGGAAACGCTGAAGTCATGGGAGAAATGGTTGAGGCTGTCTCTGAAGTTAGCTGCTTCCGCTCAGATGGTGTCACTTCAGTCATTAGAGAGGTAGTTGGGCCTTCAGCTGATGTTAACATGGTCATTGGAGGGGGAGATGTTACAAACAGAGGGTGAGTGATACCCATCCCAGCTGATGTTAACTCTGCCCCATCATGTAGAGGGATAGTGCTCAGGACAGAAGAGGTTGGCTCTCCAGCTAAGGTGGACACTGTCCTATCAGAAGGAGATGCTGTCAACCGGAGGGAAGGGGGCGTCTCTACTTCTGTTGGTGAGACCCATTTACTCCCCGTGAAAGAACTCGTAGAAAGGGGAGATGTGTCCGTCTCTTGAGAGGACGTTACCTCTGTGCTCTCAATGGGAAGAGTTGGAGAAATTGGGAAATGGGATATCTCACCATGCGATGGTATCTCTGCAATAACGTGAGTAGAATGAAGATAACTGGATGTCTTTGCTCCTGTTGTTGCTGATACTACCTCAGTACTTGGAGGCAGGCTTCTGAGAGACGGTGTAGGTGAGGAAGTCCCTCCAACTATTGCTATTCCTGTCTTCCCAATGTTACTGGTTGTAGTCAAAGGAGAAGCAACGGCCTCTTCTGGTGGTGAGGACAAAACTTTCACATTGGAAGATGGAGTCAGAAGGGTAGTGGTTGACTTTTCTGCCAAATCTGGTTTCTCCAGTGCGACAGTAGTGATTCTATCTGTACTTGTTGGTGATGGGGCACTTTCTACAGCTGAGGTCCCCTCTCCGCTCCTGGTGGATGTACCTGGAGTAGAGTGAGAAATCGTTGTTTCAGCTGCCGTCTTTCCCGTTTCGATAACTGAAGTTGTTGGAGGTGGGCTTGACGTCTCCTCTCTGCTCTCTGTAGGGGTTCCGCTACTTGTTGATGATGGGGCACTTTCTTCAGCTGAGGTCCCCTCTCCGCTCTTGGGGGATGTACCTGGAGTAGAGTGAGAAATCGTTGTTTCAGCTGCCGTCTTTCCCGTTTCGATAACTGAAGTTGTTGGAGGTGGCCTTGACGTCTCCTCTCTGCTCTCTGTAGGGGTTCCGCTACTTGTTGATGATGGGGCACTTTCTTCAGCTGAGGTCCCCTCTCCGCTCTTGGGGGATGTACCTGGAGTAGAGTGAGAAATCGTTGTTTCAGCTGCCGTCTTTCCCGTTTCGATAACTGAAGTTGTTGGAGGTGGGCTTGACGTCTCCTCTCTGCTCTCTGTAGGGGTTCCGCTACTTGTTGATGATGGGGCACTTTCTTCAGCTGAGGTCCCCTCTCCGCTCTTGGGGGATGTACCTGGAGTAGAGTGAGAAATCGTTGTTTCAGCTGCCGTCTTTCCCGTTTCGATAACTGAAGTTGTTGGAGGTGGGCTTGACGTCTCCTCTCTGCTCTCTGTAGGGGTTCCGCTACTTGTTGATGATGGGGCACTTTCTTCAGCTGAGGTCCCCTCTCCGCTCTTGGGGGATGTACCTGGAGTAGAGTGAGAAATCGTTGTTTCAGCTGCCGTCTTTCCCGTTTCGATAACTGAAGTTGTTGGAGGTGGGCTTGACGTCTCCTCTCTGCTCTCTGTAGGGGTTCCGCTACTTGTTGATGATGGGGCACTTTCTTCAGCTGAGGTCCCCTCTCCGCTCTTGGGGGATGTACCTGGAGTAGAGTGAGAAATCGTTGTTTCAGCTGCCGTCTTTCCCGTTTCGATAACTGAAGTTGTTGGAGGTGGGCTTGACGTCTCCTCTCTGCTCTCTGTAGGGGTTCCGCTACTTGTTGATGATGGGGCACTTTCTTCAGCTGAGGTCCCCTCTCCGCTCTTGGGGGATGTACCTGGAGTAGAGTGAGAAATCGTTGTTTCAGCTGCCGTCTTTCCCGTTTCGATAACTGAAGTTGTTGGAGGTGGGCTTGACGTCTCCTCTCTGCTCTCTGTAGGGGTTCCGCTACTTGTTGATGATGGGGCACTTTCTTCAGCTGAGGTCCCCTCTCCGCTCTTGGGGGATGTACCTGGAGTAGAGTGAGAAATCGTTGTTTCAGCTGCCGTCTTTCCCGTTTCGATAACTGAAGTTGTTGGAGGTGGGCTTGACGTCTCCTCTCTGCTCTCTGTAGGGGTTCCGCTACTTGTTGATGATGGGGCACTTTCTTCAGCTGAGGTCCCCTCTCCGCTCTTGGGGGATGTACCTGGAGTAGAGTGAGAAATCGTTGTTTCAGCTGCCGTCTTTCCCGTTTCGATAACTGAAGTTGTTGGAGGTGGGCTTGACGTCTCCTCTCTGCTCTCTGTAGGGGTTCCGCTACTTGTTGATGATGGGGCACTTTCTTCAGCTGAGGTCCCTCTCCGCTCTTGGGGGATGTACCTGGAGTAGAGTGAGAAATCGTTGTTTCAGCTGCCGTCTTTCCCGTTTCGATAACTGAAGTTGTTGGAGGTGGGCTTGACGTCTCCTCTCTGCTCTCTGTAGGGGTTCCGCTACTTGTTGATGATGGGGCACTTTCTTCAGCTGAGGTCCCCTCTCCGCTCTTGGGGGATGTACCTGGAGTAGAGTGAGAAATCGTTGTTTCAGCTGCCGTCTTTCCCGTTTCGATAACTGAAGTTGTTGGAGGTGGGCCTGACGTCTCCTCTCTGCTCTCTGTAGGGGTTCCGCTACTTGTTGATGATGGGCACTTTCTTCAGCTGAGGTCCCCTCTCCGCTCTTGGGGGATGTACCTGGAGTAGAGTGAGAAATCGTTGTTTCAGCTGCCGTCTTTCCCGTTTCGATAACTGAAGTTGTTGGAGGTGGGCTTGACGTCTCCTCTCTGCTCTCTGTAGGGGTTCCGCTACTTGTTGATGATGGGGCACTTTCTTCAGCTGAGGTCCCCTCTCCGCTCTTGGGGGATGTACCTGGAGTAGAGTGAGAAATCGTTGTTTCAGCTGCCGTCTTTCCCGTTTCGATAACTGAAGTTGTTGGAGGTGGGCTTGACGTCTCCTCTCTGCTCTCTGTAGGGGTTCCGCTACTTGTTGATGATGGGGCACTTTCTTCAGCTGAGGTCCCCTCTCCGCTCTTGGGGGATGTACCTGGAGTAGAGTGAGAAATCGTTGTTTCAGCTGCCGTCTTTCCCGTTTCGATAACTGAAGTTGTTGGAGGTGGGCTTGACGTCTCCTCTCTGCTCTCTGTAGGGGTTCCGCTACTTGTTGATGATGGGGCACTTTCTTCAGCTGAGGTCCCCTCTCCGCTCTTGGGGGATGTACCTGGAGTAGAGTGAGAAATCGTTGTTTCAGCTGCCGTCTTTCCCGTTTCGATAACTGAAGTTGTTGGAGGTGGGCTTGACGTCTCCTCTCTGCTCTCTGTAGGGGTTCCGCTACTTGTTGATGATGGGGCACTTTCTTCAGCTGAGGTCCCCTCTCCGCTCTTGGGGGATGTACCTGGAGTAGAGTGAGAAATCGTTGTTTCAGCTGCCGTCTTTCCCGTTTCGATAACTGAAGTTGTTGGAGGTGGGCTTGACGTCTCCTCTCTGCTCTCTGTAGGGGTTCCGCTACTTGTTGATGATGGGGCACTTTCTTCAGCTGAGGTCCCCTCTCCGCTCTTGGGGGATGTACCTGGAGTAGAGTGAGAAATCGTTGTTTCAGCTGCCGTCTTTCCCGTTTCGATAACTGAAGTTGTTGGAGGTGGGCCTTGACGTCTCCTCTCTGCTCTCTGTAGGGGTTCCGCTACTTGTTGATGATGGGGCACTTTCTTCAGCTGAGGTCCCCTCTCCGCTCTTGGGGGATGTACCTGGAGTAGAGTGAGAAATCGTTGTTTCAGCTGCCGTCTTTCCCGTTTCGATAACTGAAGTTGTTGGAGGTGGGCTTGACGTCTCCTCTCTGCTCTCTGTAGGGGTTCCGCTACTTGTTGATGATGGGGCACTTTCTTCAGCTGAGGTCCCCTCTCCGCTCTTGGGGGATGTACCTGGAGTAGAGTGAGAAATCGTTGTTTCAGCTGCCGTCTTTCCCGTTTCGATAACTGAAGTTGTTGGAGGTGGGCTTGACGTCTCCTCTCTGCTCTCTGTAGGGGTTTCCGCTACT